AATGTTGAAAAGAAGCAGTGAGAGCGGATACCCTTGTCGTGTTCCCGATCTTAGTGGGAATGCTTTCAGTTTTTGCCCGTTGAGTATGATATTAGCTGTAGGTTTTTCATATATGGCCTTTATTACGTTGAGGAATGCCCCATTTATTCCCATTTTGCTGAGTGTTTTGATCATAAATGGGTGCTGTACCTTGTCAAATGCTTTTTCTGCATCTATTGAGATGATCATGTGGTTTTTGTCTTTTCTTTTATTTATGTGATGTATCACGTTTACTGATTTGCGTATATTGAACCATCCCTGCATCCCTGGGATGAATCCCACTTGATCGTGGTGGATAATCTTTTGAATGTATTGCTGGATGCGGTTTGCCAATATTTTGTTGAGGATTTTAGCATCTATGTTCATCAGTGAAATGGGCCTGTACTTTTCTCTCTTTGTAGGGTCTTTATCTGCTTTTGGGATCAGGGTGAAGCTGGCCTCATAGAGGGAGTCTGGGAGTCTTCCCTCCTCTTGGATTTGTTGGAATAGTCTGAGAAGGACAGGGGTTAGCTCTTTCTTAAATGTTTTGTAAAATTCTCCTGGGAAACCGTCTGGCCCTGGGCTTTTGTGTGCTGGGAGTTTCTTGATGACTGCTTCAATTTCCCCAGCTGTTATCGGTCTGTTCAAGCTTTCTGTTTCTTCCTCCTTCAGTGTTGGAAGATTATACTTTTCTAAAAATTTGTCCATTTCATCAAGATTTTCAAATTTCTTGGCATATAATTGTTCATAATAGTTTTTGATGATCATTTGTATTTCTGTGGTATCAGTTGTTATTTCTCCTCTTTCATTTCTTATATTATTAATTTGGGACCTCTCCCTTTTTTTCTTGATGAGTCTGCTTAATGGCTTGTCAATTTTATTTATCTTTTCAAAGAACCAGTTTCTGGATTGGTTGATCCTTGAATTGTTCTTTTTGTCTCTATGTCATTCGTTCTGCTCTAATCTTGACTATTTCCTTCCTTCTCCTTGCTCTGGGATTTATTTGTTGTTGTTTCTCCAGTTCTTGAAGTTGCAGTGTTAGGTCTTTTATTTGAAATGTTTCTATCTTTTTAAGGTAAGCCTGTATTGCTATGAACTTCCCTCTCAGGACCGCCTTTGCTATGTCCCATAGGTTTTGGACAGTGGTCTGTTCATTTTCATTTGTTTCCAGAAATTTTTTGATTTCTTCTCTTATCTCATTATTGACCCATTCATTGTTTAATAGTCTACTGTTCAGTCTCCATGAGTTTGCAAGTTTTTGAAGTTTCTCTTTGAGGCTGATTTAGAGTTTCAAGGCCTTGTGGTCTGAGAAAAAGTTTGGTATTATTTCAATTTTCCTGAATTTGCTGAGGCTTGCTTTGTGTCCTATCATGTGGTCTATCTTTGAAAAACTGCCATGAGCTTTTGAAAAGAATGTGTATTTTTCTTCTTTGGGATGGAAGGTTCTATATATGTCAGTTAAGTCTCTTTGATTCAGTGTTTCATTGAGCGCCACGATATGTTTATTAATGTTTTGTTTGGAAGACCTGTCCATTTTTCACAGTGGGGTGTTGAAATCCCCTACTATCAGTGTGTTCCTGTGTATATCTTTTTTGAAGTCATCCAACAATTTCCTTATAAACTTGGGGGCTCCTATATTGGGAGCATATAAGTTTACAATGTTGATGTCTTCTTGATAGATTCTTCCTTTAAGTATGATAAAGTGCCCCTCTGGGTCTCTCTTTATGGCCTTTCCTTTGAAATCTACTTTGTCTGATACAAGTATGGCAACGCCAGCCTTTTTCTCATGTCCATTTGCTTGGAATATTATTTTCCATCCCTTTACTTTCAATCTGTGTAGGTGTTTTGCTCTGAGGTGGGTCTCTTGTAGGCAGCATATGTGTGGGTCATGTTTTCTTATCCATTCAGCTACCCTGTGTCTTTTGATTGGGGCATTCAGTCCATTCACATTGAGAGATATTACTGATAGAAACTTACTCATCTTTTCTCTTTGTACTTGTGTTCCTCTCTGTCTCATTCTTTTCCTTCATCTGCTTAAAGCAGTCCCCTTAGCATATCTTGGAGTGCTGGTTTGGTAGAGATGTATTCTTTTAGCCTTCTTTTGTCTGGGAAACTCCGTATTTCTCCTTCTATTTTAATGGAGAGCCTAGCTGGGCAGAGCAGCCTTGGCTTAGGCCCTTGCTTTTCATGGCTTGGAATATTTGTTGCCATTCCCTTCTGGCTTGCAGTGTTTCTGTTGAGAAGTCAGCTCCTAGGCGTATCAGGGCCCCCTTGTATGTTACTTTCTCCTTCTCCCTTGCTGCCTTGAGGATTCTCTCTTTGTCTTTGACATTTGCCATTTTAATGATGATGTGTCTTGGAGTGGACCTCCTTGGGTCCCTCTTGAGTGGGGTCCTCTGTGCCTCCTGGATCCATGAGAACCTTTCTCTCCTCAAATTAGGGAAATTTTCCATCATTACTTTTTCAAGGAGGTTCTCTATTCCTTGCTCCTCTTCTTCTCCTTCTGGTATCCTTATTATACGGATATTATTGCGTTTCAGGTTGTCCTGCATTTCCCTAAATGCTTCTTCATTCTTTTTGAGCCGTTTTTCCATTTCTTCTTCTTTCTGCGAGCTTTTTTCTACCTTGTCCTCCATCTCACTGATTCGATCCTCAGCTTCCTCCAGCCTGCTTTGGATTCCTTCTACTGTGTTCTTCAATTCAGAAATGGTATTCTTCATAACCTCTTGTGTCTTCTTGATAGTTTCTATTTCCTTTTCCAGGCTGATATAGTTTGCTGTAAGATCCTGATAGTGTCTCTGCAGTTTCTCATAGTTATCTTTGAGCTGGCTGAGCTCATTGAGCTTCCTTAGAACCATTGTTTTGAATTCCATATCTGATAGTTCCCTTGCCTCTATTTCATTTAGCTCTCTCTGTGGGGAGTCCCCTTTTCCACTCATTGGAGGGGAACTTCTTTTTCTTCCCATTTTTGTGAGAGTCTGTTAAGTATTCTTGTCCTTTACTTTTCTTTCTGGGCTTGCCTCTGATGATGTCAGTTGTTCACCCTATAGGGGTTTGGGTTGTTTGTTTGAGCCTTTCAGGAGTCTAATGCCTGTGTCTGACTCCTGCTTGGAGCAGCTCTGTGACCCCTTCGGTCAGGGCTGAGCTATTTTGGGGGATCTCTCTGCGCTCTCACACGGGCTCCATGTGCGCATTCCCAGTGCGGCAGGGTCCCCCACCTGCCTGGGCTCGCATGTGCTTGCCCCAGACCAGGGGGCTTATTTGCGACCTCCCATACTCGTCGGGCCTCCCTGGCACGCGAACTTCGCGGCACTGGTCAGTTTATGGTCTTCTATTGCGTGTTTTCCCTGCTTTTGGCTCTTTGGGTGCGTTGCTTGCCCTCGCCAAACGGGGACTACGGAAATGGGAGGAAATCAGCTCTAGGACTCTCCGGTTAATCCTGTTTCTGGTCTCTCCTCCAGGGACTCTGGGCAGCTCTACTTATTTTGTGGGCCGCTCCGCAATCGCGGCGGGTAGGTCAATTTACGCCTGCCCTTGCCCCTCTGTGCACTCCCTCGCAGGCCGTATGGGTGCCAGTCTGTGTGAGGCCTTGCCGGCAGGTGCAAGCGTTCGCCAGCCCGCGTGGGTCACATACACTTTCGCCAACCCTCGCCGGTCACTGGGAGCAAGTGTGCGTGCCTGCTCTGGGTGTTTTGGGGGTGTCTATGTTTGCTTTTCAGCTTTTGGCTCTTTCAGGGTGTGGCCTCTTCCCACACAATGGAGACTACGGCAAGGAGAAGGAGTCGGGACTCCCCGGTTCCTCCTCCCTTTCTTTCCCCAATGCCTCCGTTTCTAGTCTCCCCTCAGGGGCCTCTGGGCAGTTCTGTGACCCCTTCGGCCAGGGATCCAACCCCTGTGCGGACTGCGTTTCAATTGCAGGCAGTCTGGTTCATGCGCACCCCGCTTCTGCCTCTTTGGGGTCGCGCCTTTCCAGCCCACAATGGAGACTACAGAACGGGGAGGGAGTCGGGACTCCCCAGTTCCTCCTCCCGTTCTTTCCCCAACACCTGTCTCCAGTCTCTCCTCAAGGCTCTCCCAGCCAGTCTGCACTCAGCCCCGTAGCTCACACGCATACAAGTTGTGTGCGGAGCACACAAAAGGCAGGTTAATTGATTCCCTTATGCCTGAGCGAGATGGTAGCTGCAGAGTGGGAAGTGCGTTATCACCTGGGCTCCACCGGCCGCCGTGTCAGTTCTCTTCACAAAGTTTTCCTCACCAGTCTTTTCCCAGGCACCAGCCCACCCTGCTGCCGCCTCTACCCAGCGATCAAGGAGGGTGGCTGCCGCTGCAACTTTTGCGTTTGCCCTTTAAATGTCTTTTTGCATCCCCAGCCACCTGTCTCTGGCAGAGAGCACCCCTAAGCTTTTTGGGGTTGTGTTTTGTCTGTATTTTCTCGGCTTTAGCTGCTGTAGTTTAGGGGTTCCTGTTTATGATTCAGACCCCGTTCTTCTCGGGGGGACGCTAACTGGCCGTTTCAATGCCCCACTGGTGCCAGTGCCCATGGGCACCCAGCCCACCCTCTCGAGCCTCCACCGCAATTCTCACCCGTTGGGATGTGTGAGAGTAGAATCCACTGTCCGCGGTACCAAGGCTCCTCTCCCACTATCGCTCCACTGCTTTCCAGGTGATTACTCCATTATTTAGTTGCAATTCCAGTTTGGTTTTGGGAGGAGGTCAGAGTGACTCCCTTTCACTCCTCCGCCATCTTTCCAATCCACATATATATATATATTCTTTAATTTGAGCATTACAGTAACGCCGTATAAGTAGGGAGGTACTATTTCATCTTACCCACAAAGAAGCTGAGCCCCAGAAGTATTAACAGACCCTATTTTTTATGACAACGTTATTACCACGTCTACACAGATATAATTAATTATTCACTATGTATGGATTTCAATGGTTAAACAGTCTTAGTTTAAAAAAAAATATTAATCACTTACTCTGTACCAGGAACTGTACTGGATGCTGGGGATATAAAGATGAGTAAGACACGATTCCTTCTTTCAAGGAGCTCATAGTCTAGTGAGGAGACAAACCGTAAACAAAGAGCTTTCAGTGCGACAGTTACTCAAATGTTAAACATAAAGTAGCACATTGGGGACACCCAAGAGGAAGTTATTGATCCAACCTTCAGGAATCAGAAGAAGGTTCATATCTTAAATTATGGAGAATATAGAGCATTCTGAGAACTTTGGGGTGGCTGGATAATGGGATGGAAGGACAGTATCAGGTATAAGACTGATAATAAACAGGATAGTCCAAATTGTATAAAATCCCATGGAACAGTTTATGTGGCACTCAAAGTATACAGAGAACAGTAATTTACAGTTTATCCTGAAGGTAACTGATGTACACTGAAGGATTTCAATAACCACAAGTGCATTCTAGAAGAATAACTTTGCCAGCAGTGGGTTTTTAAATGAATTAATCTGAACCAGAGCACTGGTAATGTGAACAAAAACCCGGAGGATTGTACAAGATCTCTGACCAGATGATTATGGGGTAGATGAAGGTTAGTAGAAAAATTCTGAAAGACTAAAATGTCCCACCTCACTATCTGGGTGGGTGATGGCACCATAACCGGGATAAGTAATGTTAAGAACAGGAACATATTGTGGTAGACAAACAGCACAAAGTTTTTAAGAGCAGATTCTGGAATCTATTTCAATTTCATCTCTAATTCTGCCACTTAACAGTTGTGTGGTCAAGTGTGGCAAAAGGAAAAACAAAGCCTGAGTTTTAACTAGCTATAAGCAAATTGGTTATTCATCCAAATGAATTTAGGTCATAACCTATGCCCAGAACATATGGCCATTTATATGTAAACTGATTATTTCCAGCTCAACCCTTTAAAAATGCCGCAAAGCAAACAAAGTTTCATTATTATTCGACTGCAAAAATAGAGTGTCCTTAATGTAGATAATAAACTAGACTTTCAGTCCTCCAAGGTTATAATCAAATCCTCACTTATAGGATATGTCTTAATTGTCTGCTTACTTTCAGATGTCACTCTTAAATCAGGAGCAACCATTTTAAAAGACAACAGATCTTACCCATTTTGCATACTATGCACAGTGTTAACATGAGGAAAAGCCAAAGAAACACTGTATCTATCTGTTAAGTAAGTTTGGCAAGAACACAAAAATGGTGGAAGACAGACTCCCAGCTTCATGCCAAGTCTAGAAGGTGATGCTAATCCACAGGAAACATCTCAGGAATGAGAGGGGGTGGTACATCTCAGGTGCTGAAGAAGTTTAGCCTAATGAATGTAGAATTTGGGAGGTTAAAAAAGCATGCAATTAGGCAAAACTACTGCATCAGCAGCACAAAATTTAAAACTCAATGAATGTGGCAGAGAGAGAGATGAACCAAGCAGCCTCTCTTGCCCTAGAATACCTGATTCTACAATTTGAAAACAAAAAATAAGTCTTTCATAAAAATGTAAACTCGAAGTAGGGAATCTGATTTTAAACAATATAGGAATGTTACTTCTATATAGGGAGAATATTTATAAAAAGACACTATTGGTCATTTCAAAGAGTTTATAAAATGAGACAGGAAACAAGAGAGTGACAGTGTGTCCTGATTTACCCAGACCAACCAGGATTGGGTCCTGCTCCTGGAAAACCCCGTAGCTGGTAAACAATGGGAGTGTCTCTAACTGTGTAGATAGCTTTTATGATGTATCTCAAAGAGATTTTTCTAGTGGAATCCTGTTATAATAAAGCATAATTCTGTTTAAGTGTATATTGTGAATAACCTAAATATTCAGAAGGGGGAGTCCATTTTATTGGATTTGCTCCTTAGGAAGCCTCAATGTCACGCTGGACTACATGCGGGGAGAAGAAGAAGCAGTAGGAAGTTTTCCCAACACATCCCACAGAATCACTTTTGCCAAACTCCCAATAATCACCATTGTGGTCTCTAAAGTCCACCAACAAATGTCCAACTCCCTGAATAGCTTCCTGATAACATTCCATCCTACCACTTTTCCCCACCCCATACCATGATCCCCACTCGACTCTCACGCCTCTGACAACAATCACTGGCCCTGGATCTGGCCAATGTCCATCCCACTGAATAGCACAGATGACAGCTGGACTCAAGGAGTCCTCTTTTGCTCACAGTCACTGAACAGTCATCTCACCACTGCGCTCTGTCTACTTAATTCAAGATCCTCAGTTCCTCCAGCAATCCTCAGTCCCAGCAGCACCTACTGGTAATAACACCACTACTGTACTTTGTTTGCACAGCTTCAGAGTTGCAAATTTCCATACAGGTGTCCTCAGAAAAAAAGGTAAAGTGCAGTCCTTTTCAATTTTAACAATGCAACGTTAACATTACTTTTTATTCCTATCCTACCTCCAAGAGGCCTTTTATTCCCAGGATCTCTCCTCAACCACTGTACATTCCCTCCACCTTGAGATAAGCTCTGTGCTGAGGTCTCAATGTACACGTTTAAATGTTTGGAGTAGAAGCTAGCTGATTTCTTAGAACTTTTTCTTGTCGATAGTGACCTCTCTGTTTAAATATTACTGATCAATCCTCTTAAATGTAAAACACAGGAATGCTACTCTCCTGATAATTTACAAGTGCCACTGGGTGAAAAGGAACACTTCCAAACGGTGTCATCCAGTGACTTGAAAAATACTTGTCATATCTCTCAGAGGACAAATAAAGGTGGGCATCTATGAGTACCCTTTAACCTCTTACTGGAGTTTGGAGGTTTATTTTAATCTAAAAATGCCCATCTAACCATAAGATGTAATAACCTCATCTTTCTCTCTCTCTCCATCTTTCTATACTTTCAGTCAATTTCCAAGTCTCTGGCACTTTACAAAGCAGTATTTTTTGATGAGAAAAATGTATTTATCTTCAAAATGCCAAATTTCCTAAGTCAGCATTAATGCCTATTCTTCTTTACCTCCACCCAATTTCATATTTTCAGCCAGAGGAGGTAAATACATTAATTTTTCCCAAACCTTCTGGTTCCGTTTTCACTCCTCCTCTACTTTTCACCTCTTCTTTTCAGCAACACAAACCCAGGTTTCTTTTCTAGACTTCTTTTTCAGACTTGTCTCACAGCTCTCCTTTCATAGATTCATTCTCTTCATATTTCTTTTACCTCTCTTTCTTGTATACAACAAGTTTATATTAAACTGTATTTTTTAAGTGTTATTCCTCTCAATTACATGAAAAAAATCTCTCTGCTTTATGATTATCTCAAAATTTTTTCTCTCAGTATATATAAAACTGCTGCTATATGGAGGTAACAAGCAAAAAAAGAAAATAATCTTAAACTGAAATGCACCATATACATCACAATTTTCAATTTTAACTATGCCACACTTGGGGGGGCCTACATAAGCAAACCCAAATCTACACCTGAATGCCTCAAGGTTGTGAAATCAAAATGCTAAGGCAACCAATCTCAAACAGCCAATTAGCTTCAAGCTACAGCCAAATAATTTCCTTCTTTGCTCTAGCACTTTCTGTCTTTCCCTGGCTCCTGTCCCAAAGCACTCCTAACAACTTCCGGCTTGGCACTGTCCTGTTCTAATAACTTCTTGCTCAAGTCAACCCTTAAAATTCTTAATATGCCCGTTTATCTTCTGACAGTTCTAAATCTTGGTCCATCTCTATATTCCTTTTCTACTGTTAATTCTCAAGCAATTCCAAACTATGTGCATTCCTTGCTCTCAGAATTACTCTATAACCTATCTATCAGTGACATAATGCAAATTTATTTCCTTTAATAAACATCTGTATTATCTTGTGCTCCTTACTGTAGTAATTAAAAGGCTTGCTGAATTTAACCTTATACCTCCTTAATTATCATGGCTTATAACACCCAAATAATTGTTGTCCACTAATTTCCTGTAGTTTACTTCCTCACTGCTCCTCATCCTAATTTCTAAGCATCCTTCAAGATTCAGCTTGTCATCTCTCCAGTTTTGGACTCATTAGTTACTGTATTTCACAGCACTGAAACCTTATTTACTTATCTCCTTACTACACTGTGAATTTATTATGACTCATTTTTTAATAATTTTTATTTTCAGTTAACAGTTGACATACAATATATTAGGTGCACAACATAGTGAGTACACATTTATATAACTTACGAAATTATCACCCAGTAAGTCTACCAGGGGTGTCCAACCTGCAGTCCATGGGCTGCATGCAGCCCAGGATGGCTGCGTGTGTGGCCCAACACAAAATCATAAATTTACTTAAAATATTTTTTTGTGATTACATGTGGCAGTGTATTTAATGTGTGGCCCAAGACAACTTTTCTTCTTTCACTGTGGTGCAGAGATGCCAAAAGCTTGGACACCCCTGGCCTAGACCCATCTGACACCATACATGGTTAATATATTACTGACTATATCCCTATATGTTACATCCCTGTGACTATTTTATAACCACCAATTTGTACTTCTTAATTCCTTTACCTTTTCCCCCGTCCCCAATGCACCTGTCTTCTAGCAACCAACAAAATGTTCTCTGTATCTATGTCTGCTTGTTCATTTATTTTGCTTTTTAGATTCCACATCAGTGGAATCGCATGGCTTTTGTCTCTGTCCGACCCATTTTACTTAGCATAATACCCTCTATACCCATTCATGTTATTGCAGATGGCAAGATTTCATTCTTTTTTATGGTTCAGTCATATTCTATGATATAGATGTACCACCTCTTCTTTATCCATTCGTGTATTGATGGACACTTAGGTTGCTTTCATATCATGGTTACTGTAAATGCTGCAATGAACATGGGGTACATATATCTTTGAACTAGGGTTTGGGTTTCTTTGAATACCCAGAAGTGGACTTGCTAGGTCCTTCTTTGTCTTTATTTTAAAGTCTCTTTTGCCAGATATTAAGTATTGCTATCCCAGCTTTTAAAAAATTTCCATTTGTATTAAATAACTTTTTCCATCTCTTTACTTTGTCTGTGTGTCTTTTGATCTCAAGTGGGTCTCCTGTAGGCAGCATATGTAAGGATCTTGTTTTCTT